CATTTTACTGCCTGACACATTGACTACCGCAACATTTTACTGCCTGACACATGACTACCGCAAATTTACCTTTACAGACAGACCAAAAGTAGGGTATGATAAAAGTCAGTTAATTTATCTTTACAGACAGACCAAAAGTAGGGTATGTTAAAAGTCAGTTAATTTATCTTTACAGACAGACCAAAAGTAGGGTATGTTAAAAGTCTATGCTAGAAAAGGTTTTTTTTTGAGAACATAATTATTTCCCAGCAGTAAGATGCACCGGCAGTCATTTACTATGGCAGTAAAATGTTGCTGTAGTAATGTGTCAGGCAGTAAAATGTTGCGGTAGTCATGTGTCAGGCAGTAAAATGTTGCGGTAGTCATGTGTCAGGCAGTAAAATGTTGCGGTAGTAATGTGTCAAGCAGTAAAATGTATGTTAAAAGTCAGTTAAAAAAGTCAGTTAATTTATCTTTACAGACAGACCAAATATAGGGTATGTTAAAAGTCAGTTAAAACATACCCTACTTTTGGTCTGTCTGTAAAGATAAATTAACTGACTTTTAACATACCCTATTTTCGGCCTGTTTATAAAGAGAATCCTTCTTGGCCAGTGCAACTTCCCTATCAGCAGTTATACAAACACTCTCTCTTAAAGCCTCTTCAAGTTCTTCAATTCTCTGCAGCTGTTGTTCGTTTTGTTCCTGGGTTGTTTGCACCAGAAACAGGGAGGAAGGAAGGCATGGGATGAGGGTGAAATGGGAGTATGATTGTGGAATGGAAATAAATAAAACATAAATAGCAAATAATAAAGTGCTGATGAAACTTTTTCTGATGAAAACAAATAGAAGAAAACAAGAATATATAAAGATATTTAATAAAATTCAGCACCATAAAAAATAGAATAAAAAGAAAGCAAATAATGAAGGCACACCACTGGTGGTTTGATTTTTGAGACTGGGAACAAAATTTATATAGTACTAAAAAGCTGTTGTAAGGACTAGCTACGAATAAATCAGTATAATAAAAAACAGGATTAAAAGAAACTGGAAAAAAAGCTAGCAGCACCTGACGATTGCTGTTTATAAAAGGAAAGATCAAAAATGGATATAATATTTATTCAATGATATTTTCAACAACAAAGATGAAGAAATAATTCATTAAAAGTTAAACCATGTTCTTCATTTACTATGTAGCTTTTCTAGTTAACATATTGGCAGCTATTCTTGTCAGCCTTAGTATTCACTCAAGGAAATGGGATTTTCAATTTTGAAAATAAAACATTTTTAATTTTTTGACAATTGCATTTAATGTTTTAGAAAGCAAACCCTAACTGTGAAAGCAGTTTCTATTAAATTAGTACTCACGAAAAGAAAACTTATTTTACACCTACAAAATGTGAGAGTAAACAAATTAAGAAATACTATTAATTTACATACAAATACAAATTATAAAGCAATTTTTCAATGCCTCATTTTTAACCTTACAATGTTCATTTTCCTTAAGTTAAGCAAGTTTACATAGTACTACTTGAGTTATGGCTTAAACTTAGTGAAACCGACAGTAAAAAAAAAAAATTGTCATTTGATAGATTGAAGAAACCAAACATAAGTGAAGTTTCATCCTGATAACTACTCTTCCAACTGGGTTTTATCTAACTGGCTCCATAAGTGTGTGATGTAGAATTGAACCAGTTAGTTAAACATTGTGAGTAACAAACAGTGCTGAATTTAATACACTTAGAAATAAGAATAGTTCTACATAACAGTGTTTTGTTTATCTACATGAAAGTAAAATGTTTTCTATCACGATTAACTTTGACTGATTACAGCCACTTAAGTTAAAACTACTGCTACAATTTGATTGTGGATTAAAACTGTGTTTTAGAATATTCTGAAATTCACTAAGGAAAAAGGGGATTACCTGGGCTTTAGCAGATTCCTTACTGTGCTCAGTTTCACGGTGTCGAGCCTCTTCTAACATCTGAGCACTCTTTGTCTTCTCTGCATGCTGACTTCGTTTAATGTTGTTTAACTTGGAATCTTTTTCTTTTAGAGAACTAAACAGAAAAAGAGACAACAAACATAAAACAACATTAAGTATATCACTCACAGTCCAATATAAAAAAAAATAACACAACATTAAGTATATCACTCAGAGTTCAATATCAAAATAAACATAAACAACATTAAGAATATCACTCAGAGTCAAATATCAAAATAAACATAACACAACATTAAGTATATCACCCAGAGTCCAATATCAAAATAAACATAACACAACATTAAGTACATCACTCAGAGTCCAATATCAAAATAAACATAACACAACATTAAGTATATCACTCAGAGTCCAATATCAAAATAAACATAAAACAACATTAAGTATATCACTCAGAGTCCAATATCAAAACAAACATAAAATGCTCTAAGGCAATCACAAATAAAAATACTTATAATAGTGTAACACAGCAATAATATGATGGGTGTAATGTAAAACAGAATTATTATGGTGGGTGTGTTGTAACACAGAATTATTATGATGGATCTACTGTAACACTGCATTATTATGATGGATCTACTGTAACACTGCATTATTATGATGGATC